GGTACTCAGAAACCTGCATCTCCGACTTCCGGTCATGAGATGGGTATACAGTGCTGACTGTTATCTCATGGTTGTTTCAAAAGCCATGAGTCATAAATGATGCGTCGCCTGTCTACTATTATCCCCGTTCCACAAACGTACGGGGAACCAAATATCAATGGAAATCCAATGTCACGCCCACGGTACTCAGTTCATATCGACCTTACTGCCCTGCAGTAAGTTAGCAAGTCAAGTCAAGTCAAGTCAGCAGTAGCTTTATGCATCCGGACAGGTGGCTTTTCAGCATATGCACCATATATGTGGATTCAAATTTATAAAATCATTACGTAATGAAACTGAAAGCAATGAATTGTGTTTTCCAATGACGCATTTGCGTAATTCTGTGGAAATTTTCTCTTTCTCAATAAGTAGACGTGCTGGATATGGCAGAAAGGAATAACGATAAGTAGAGGTACGTGCAAAACAAGTTTAAATCTTGAGCGTGTGGATGAGGTAGATACAGCTTTTGGAAATTCGTTGCGTGATGGTTGCTAAACTTTTGAGAGTATTTCGGCAGTGAAACGATCACATGCTTGACGGTATCTGTCTATGATAGAATCCGCCAGGTTATCCTTGACAATGCCACCTAATTTGGATGTATGTTTTAGAGATCTCACCAGTGAATGAAAGTCTTTCTTCAGCATAAGGGAAAAGGCACTGGGAAGCAATACAACCAGTGGGGGCAGCACACATGCATTTCCAAACCTAACAATCAGCTTATGGGGAACAGAAATTATTCTCAATCGGAGAGAGAAATATGAAAGCTTTCTAACTTTACAGACTGTGTTTTAAACATGCAGTGGCCAAGATAAATTGTGTGTGCTAAGGTAACTGTGGTGATCCAGGTCTACGTAATGACGCCTACCCTGGAGCGGCGCGTAACAGTTTACGGACACATGCGATCATTCAAATTTGAATGCTGACGTCAATAACACACGTACGGATTCCGACTACAGGCCATAGGCAGATCGTGTCAGACAATTCAAGACAGTGCACACAGAAGCAAGATTATGCAAGCAGTATTGCGATCCGATTGGAGGAAGCCTGGATAACCAATACTCTTCCTTTGTACATATTATTTAATTTACGTACTACTATTCCTGTAAACGTTTATCAGCGTCTCGTTCACCTGGGACACTGTGAGCACGTGCCATTGTGGTCCAGCGATTCCGATATCCAGTCCTTGACAGCTAGTTCTTGATTTGTGCTCTGTGATTACTATTGCGTGGATCGCATTCCGAATTCCGTGCGTACCAATACTGCTACAATCATTAGAGCAACGGCAATCGCGAACGCGATCAAAATTGACGGCAAAACACCGCGAATTTGTGGCGATTACCGCTCAACACTCAACCCGCGGTTGCGAAAGTGTGTGACTAATACCATGGAACCGGAGGATTTCATGAAAGCATTGCACGGTAGCACGTGCTTCTCGAAGATTGACTTGACTGATGCATTCCTCCAGATTCCGCTCGCACCAACCTGCCGGCATTTCACCACCGTCATCACACCATGGAGACTGTATCACTACAACTTCTTACCGTTTGATCTCCACACATCCTAAGACATATTCCAGGCTGCAATTGACGAAGTCATCCGCGGAGTCGATGGCGTGTTAGCGCACCAGGACGATGTCATTGTATTTGGCACTACTAAGGCCGAGCATGACGATAGACTTTACAAACTACTGGAGCGGTTGACCCAAAAGAACGGATAATTTGGCGCTTCCCAACCGCTGTTTGCTGCTCAGTCGAATGCGGAATGGAAATGGACTACCAAGTGTGAACAAATTCTGCGTGAAATCATTCAGATGATAACTGACCGACCAGCAATCGCCTCATTCTCTCCGACAAAACATCCAACTTTGATCACCGACGCATCAGATGTTGGCATTGTTGCCGTCCTCGAACAGAACGGATGTCCGATTTTCTGCATCTCCCGTCTACTCAACCAAGCAGAACGAGGATATTATCGGACGCAGATAAAAGCACTAGCTGTATATTAGGTCGTCTGATGCCTGCACAAATACCTGTTTGGATTGCGTTTCACCATCGTAACCGATCATTAAGCATTGCAATATTTATTCAGTTCACAAGTCGATCTCCAAACCGATGGCGACGATGATTCAGCGATGGAGCATTGCATTGGCTGCCTGCGGCTACGACATGGTGCACCGTCCGGGCAAAACAATTCCCGTCATTTCTCCCAATAAACGAACTACTACCGACTACTATTCATGCAGCCTTTTCCTCGCGTCTCGTTCTTGTGGGACCTCGCTGTTGTGGTCCGATGTTTCCGTAGTCCAGTTCATGACAGTTAATCCTTGAGTCGTGTCCGCTGATTCCTATTGCGCGGTTTATATTCAGAATTGCGTGCGTACTACTACTACTACAAGTAAAACAGTGACGCCAAGTTATTTTACCATTGTCGATTTCGGTACGGGTTGTTGATTAGCAGAGAGAGTGAGGAATCTATCCGTAAGGGCTGAATATGGTACATCGGCCAAGAGGGAAACATCCTGACACTTAGAGGCATTCAATGAAAGGGAACGGAACAAGGACCAAGTAACAACGTCGTTTACTTTAAATTTCTAAAGCCTTTTCAAGGGTGGATGCTTGCAACCTAAAACCTTGTCATCTACGTATTTAAAGCCAACGAATGCAGGAGGAATGGGAAATTGTTTGACATACATTGAAAAGGAAAATGGGGAAAATATTGCTCCTTACAGAACACCAGAAGAAACTGGGCGAGCGGAGGACTTTTTGCCGTTGAGGCAGCTGAAGTGCCTTCTATTCGTGAAACAATTGCAGATTAATCTGCTAACGTTTGGAT